AGTGGTCCGGTATTCTTCAATCTTCCCATTTGATGTTTTGCCGTTCATCAAACATACAGATCTCGATGTAGATCTAGGCTCAAATAAGGGGGGTGTGAACTTCCGAAAAAGCACCGAAATCTGGTTCACGTTTGCGGGTGAATTTTTGGATCGGGTCGTAACGATAATGACTTACTTTAGCAATGCCAATCGGACTTTCCCGCGCTGCGAAAATTTGGTCCCCGTTTGCGGGTGATTGTGAGGACCCGGCTGAAGCGTAGGTGACAAACTTTGTCAACCTCGGTCTGCTCTATTTTCGAACCAATCCGAATGAAACTCGGCAACCAATCAGAAAATAGGGCAAACTAATGATCTGTGGACGTTGAAGTTCGTACACATGAATTAACCTATACTTTTGGTGTCGCAGGGCTTGAAATAGACAGCGGCAATTTGCCTTGGTGCCTTTGCAATTTGCCGTAATGCCCTTAAAAACAAAGAGTCAACCGCGGCAATTTTTGCCGTGCCCTTGATTTTTTTGTTTTAAAAAGATTTGCCACCATCAAAATAAATCACTATTTGTCCTGTGCTGTCTCTTGTGGAAAAAAAGAAAAGAAAGTTTTTTGGAGGTTTAAAAACAGAATCTACTACTGAGTGGTCCACTTTTTAGGAGTATTTTCCTATATATGGGTCATCCATATTTTGTCGACCTTTACAACCCCATAACTTTTTTATTTATGAACCGATTCTTAAAATTCAAGAAGTATAATTCGTAAAATTGAAAATTCATTCTTAGGTACCAAATAAAAAAGGGCTAAAGTTTAAAACTAAATTTTCATTGGCATTGCTACTGACTTTCTCTTCTCGAGCTCGTTCTGCTCTATTTCTGGACCAATGTGAATGAAACTTGACAACCAATCAGAAATAGGGCAAACTAATGAATTGTGTGGAAGTCGAAATTCGTACTCATAAATTAACCTACTTTTGGTCAGGGGCGTGGCATCACTTCCAGAGAAGGTGACGCCAAGAACAAATTTATGCACCTCGAATTGCCTACTTATTATAAACTGTAGATCTACTATATACGCCTTTTCGTTTAATTTTAACCCTTAGAGTGCTGATCGCGACCACCAGTCATGACGGCCCGAACTTCCGTAAAGTGCTGATTGCGACCGCCGGTCGCGATAGACATTGGCATAGTTTAATTGATATACGAAAAGAACGATGTATTAATTTTCATACTGCTGGCTGGTAGGATATGCTGAATTGATTTTGCCCGCCATTTTCTTGTCATGGGTTTCGATCGAGGCGCGAGGAGTTTTTTGTTTCACGTTGAAGTCGAGTGACTGTGAAGTCTGAAAATCCGCGATTGCGACCCGTGACAAACATAAAAATAGTGTCGCATCAGATTCAGATGAAGATGTTCCGCGTATTTTCCTTGAATCGGAAGATGATTTCGAGGGTTTTGATGCTAGAGCTAACACTTTGTGGAATATAACGTAGGCTTACGAAGCTTCTAGACTGGTCTAGTTCTAGAGATCCAATGAACCGGCAGTTTTTATTCAGTCATTTCCAACACCACGACTACAACAACAACTTTACAAAATACTTTTTGCTTCAGATATTCATAAAGAACTTTCAATATTCTAAAACTTTTATTCTTACCTTCATTAAAAATTTTGACAAATAAAAAAGTTATTAGCCAAAAATTTGCAAATCTGGCGTTTTTCCAAAATAAATTCAGCACAGAGGGAAAATATAAGGAGAAAGAAGTCAGCGCTCTAAGGGTTAATACTGATACAGGAACACCTACTTCCATACGAGAAGAATATATAAGTGCCAGTACAGTCTTTTACAGCCATTTCCAAAACGTGAGACGATCTTGAGACTCAGTGGTGCAAAAATTATTTTCTTACCAATTTGACTCCCTTTTCAGGAGGACTTTCATAACGAGAAACCACTAGATTTATATGAGACAAAGTAGAATAGAGGGGTAGGGCTAAGGGTAGGGTTTGGGTTAGGGCTAGGTCTCTTCATTGTGTTTGTTGGGGTGGTCACTCGTTACTGAAGTCCTTCCCCCTTTTCTGTCAGTGCTCATATTCCTGAAGTATCAGAGCATAGATGATAGAGATGTAGGGTTTTGGAGATATAGGTAGACTATTAGTTTGACAACCACTGTATTTCTTGTATGTAACAATGATGACAAAAACAGATAAGCCGTAAGGCAAATTATAGACTTCAAATTCCTTTTGTTTAGTAAACCAAGACTTTATTCACTATGGACTCCATTCATAATGGTATAAATGACAAGCATTGTAACAATGACGCACGCGGCCGTGCACGGAACATGTCATCTTTATTATATGTACAAGAAAGGGTACACATTGGACATTATCATTGTGGGGCTCGCCCCCTCCTGATTAAGGTAAGTTTTAGGGTTAGGTTCTTTTTTTTTTTGTTCTTCCGTTCCAAATATATATGTGCGGAATGAAATCGTTATTTTTTTTTTTTCTCTTCATCTCTTACCGCGACACGTGCGCCCGGAAAAACCCCAAACAAAAGTAGACCGGTACAGAGAAAGCCACGCTTGTCCATGGTGGCAACTCAAACTACAGAAGTCCTCCCTTTTATGTAAATGAGGTAGACTCGACTCAGAACTTTACTTTTGTTTACCTTTTTTTTGAGCCGGTCGAAACAGCTTTTGTAATTTTGCAAAGGAACCTCGAAAAAACCCTTTGAGTTAAAAAATAACTGCATTTTTGTGACTCCCAATAACATCAACTGATTAAATGGGCAGTCGACTCAACCACCAGTTGACATTATGGGGAGTCGACTCCCAATAATGCCTTCCTTCCCGGTGTCTTTTCTAGTACACACACACACAAGTAAGCTTTCTACTTAGGCGTAATAAGTGTTAAGAATACACACAAATAACCTCTTTACTAAAATAAAACTATTTATTCATCATCATTGCCTTTTCACCCTGCTCCAGGGTATAAGCCACGAACAAACACTTTCCACCTCTCTCTATCCCGGGCTAGCCTCTTGATGTTATTCCATGTCTTCCCGCTTTACTGTTCTTCTCCAGGTTTCATGCGGTCTTCACTTTGATCTTTTACCTTGTGGATTCCAATCCAACACTTTCTTTGTTATGCAGCTGCCTGACTTCCTGAGAATATGTCCAATTCATCGTCACTCCTTTCTACGTCATCTCTGACTGGGATCCGTCTTGTTTTCCTTACCACTTCCTCGTTGGTGACCCTGTCTGTCCATCTGATCCTCAGTAACTTTCTTAGACACTTGTTCAAGAAAACCTGGATGCTCTTTATGCAAGTCTGAATGTGTTCCATGTCTCACATCCATACATCAGGACTGACTTCACATTTGAATTGAAAATCCTCAGCTTTGTTCCTAGTGAGATGTCCATGGTCTTCCAAATCCTATTCAAAGACATGAAAGCAGCCTGTGCTTTTCCAATACAGGACTTTATTTCAGCACCTGTTCCTCCCTCTCTATCAATTATACTCCCAAGATAGCAGAAGGATTCAACGTCTTCTAGTGAATTCCCTTCTATTGTGACCTGCTCCTTTCGTTGTGCATCTCTATCCTTAGGACCTTTGACTTTTTTGAGTGGATCCTCAATCCTACAGACTCTGATAGGCTGTTTAATACAGAAGTCTTTGTTGCATCTGTTCGAGGGTGTGCGACAGAAGCGCCTAGTCATCCGCAAAATCCAGATCGTCCAACTGTGTCCATGGGGTCCACTATACCATTTCTGTGTCCTCTGATGGTTTTCTTCATGAGCCAATCAACTGCCAATATGAAGAGGAAAGGTGATAGCAAACATCCCTGTCTCACACCAGTCTATTTATTACAAAGCTACTATTTGGGACTAGTCTGGTTTTGGCCCCAACGATAACTATGAAGTGTAGGTTTTGGCTCCACCGAAAAGATCATTTCTGGTTCTAGATTCTATTCTAAACGATTATCCTACTTAACACTTAACTTTTCAACGCGCGTGCCGATGTGATGCTTGATGTGCGGCGAGCGAGAGATATCAAGCCTAATTGCAAAACATCAAATAGTGTTTTGGATGATAAAACATCGATACCGTATTATTTAAGTCGGTATCGATACCCAAAACTGGAGAATGCCACTATTTGTATCACTGTGTGGGATCGTGTGACACCGTCACCTTGCTTTTTTGCTTCTCTTATCTTTCAAATGAGTTTGGTCTTACTGGGTAGTTCTGTACTTGATGTGCGTTGTCTGATAGCAAGCTATTTAGCGACTAAACGATGTACAGCAATTAGAAGGAAATTAATTTTAAATTCAGAACAGAGACCAATAAATTAAATAGCTGTCTTGGATTGCTGCATATAGACCTAAATGATTTTTGTAAAAAGTACACTTCACTAAAGAGGGTAATAGTAATTTAGAAAATAAATGAAAACCTTTTGCATTACATGATTACAAAAGTATGAAACTGGGCCAAGTGGTGCATGTTCTTTGATGACGCAGCTGGCGGTTGATGGCAAAGGACAAATTTGGGAATATCAACGGTCTACTATCAAGCTGGTGCCAGAGAATGCAGCCCTGATCCAACTGTCTCTGTTCTTATCTCCATCTCAAGCCTACATCTTTGCCTCTGCCTGTACTGTCTTATCATCCATCAAAATGTGAATGGGTGGAAATTCCACCTGATCCACCATTTTCATTATTTATGGTTATTTAAGTTTAACTGCTAAAAGCCATTATTTCTCCAATTAAGGGTTGTATACAAAATAGTAGTCTGTCGCTTCCTGTTCCCCCAGTGTCATTGTGCTTTGTTTTGCTGAGCCCAAGATGAATTTATTTTTCTTGTTCTGGCTGTATTTGAATGCTCAGTCACTTGTCTTTGTAAGTTTGCAATACCAAGTGGAACTGATTTTGCTGCTTCTGCACAATCCCGTTTTAGTTGTTTTTTTGGTTTTGATGATCTTGTCAGTTCAAGTCTAATAGACATTTGTCTGTAAATATTTCAGCCCACGGAATCCGCACAAAAAAGAAGATCTACATTGATTTGAAAACACAAAGTGCTTGCTTCAGGAACTTTAATGCTACCCATCAAGTTGGCTGTGCCTGTAAGTCCACATTAAAGTAGTACCTCTGTCGATAATATAGTTTGGTGTTATTATGAAGGTCATAATCTGCTGAAGTTCCATTTTTGTGTTATAACTAGTACTGAATGTTACCCTGTCGTTATAAATCATTTTGTGTTTGTATAAAGTACAAAGGACTAATATGTTGTGATTTTATACGACATGTATTTAATTTTCTGTAATTTAGTAATTAGTGACAATGTTTATTTGAAGTGCGCTCATTATGCCTACTGTACTGTAGTGTTAATGTGAATTGCACATAATGAGCTGTACTTTTGTGTATGCATGTGTTTCTTAGGATATTTTACAGAGGTTGTTTTTTTCATGGATATTGTTCTGCCATATTTATGCAAAGTATACATTGTACACAATAATATGTTAAATTCTGGAAGAACAATGTGTTTTTTCTTTTATTTTGTAAACATTCTTACATCATCTTATATTTGAATTTAATTAGTTGTCACCGCAAAAATAGAAATGATTTCAAATTTTCCAAGTGAGACCTCATTTGAAGAAAGCTTTTTTCAGATTCAGTTCTGTCTGAATTCTGTGTCAGTGTAATGTGACATGAAAAAAAGCTGTTCCCATAAGCTCCCCTCAGTATTCCTTGGGGGTTGTATCCCTTTCTGCTCTCTGGCTATTGATACAGAGCCAGTATTGTGCTCACAATTATTTTGTTTTTGATATGTATTGAGTAGCCTTTCTTTCTTCTTAGTTCATGAAGCTTCTTTAAAGTTTTTTTTTTGGTGGTAAGTAATCCATTTTTATATTGTTTATAAAACAGCAGAAATACAGAGCTTCGATCTACGACACTGACATGCAAGCTCTGCGACAGAATCTGAGCTTCAAACATAGGAAGAATTAGCCTTGAAAGAAGCTGCATGAAGAAAACCTAGAGACCATCTTAAGCTAAATTGACCGTCTGCATAGACGAAAAGAGCCATATATATTGTTTATAATAATTAATCTAGTCTACGAGCAGTTGTGCTGTGTTATGTATTCACAATGTACAACAGATCTCATTATTCATTATGCCAGCGCCGCCACTTTCTACTCTTTTCCCCTCCCTCCTTCCACAGCGGCTGAGGGAGGAAATGTTGGTATTGTGTACTACTTGCATACAGAAGATGATTACCAGTGGGTGCTGAAAGAAGGCCCACATGCGCCATACATAGCTGTTGTCAATTCTGATGACTTCAATGGGTTTGTCTTCTTTTTTTTTTCATTTTGTTGGCACTGCCGAACTGATATTTTTACTAATACATAGCTGACAGTTAAATGCAGTTGTATTTACATTTTTACACCTGTTTTTTTTGTTTTTGTTTATGAAAGTGATTTACAACTCTTTTGGTACAATTGAAATCTTTTAACAGGTGGGCTGTGATCCTTCCTCTTGCTTCCGCGGCATGAATTAGCTTTGAGCCCTTGCCACCAGCACACCGGTGGCGCATAAAAATGCCTGTATGCCTAGCCACCGCTACTCTGGTGAACGAGACCCCATCCCCAAACTGGCTTGTCTGCGAAAAAATGCGCGTACGGAAAACAGCGTTTGCTTCACAAGACTTTATTGATTATTTTGAAGATCTTTCTGAATTAGATGCTGGTAATGACAAGGGAAATCCCTGAGTGGAATATGAAATGTGATTCTGAAGATCATATGAATGTTGGTAACATGGCTCAGGAGCTCAAGCAGAAGGGACGGTAGCTTCAGGAGGTCAGTGCTCGAAGGGTTGATAAAGTTACTCATGTCAGGTGAATTCAAAACATTTTGGAACTCCTAAAGGACTACTAATTTTGTGAAGTCACTTATATTATGTCAGGTGAAAATTTGAAATTTTCGAACACTCAAAGGAATAGTTTTGTTTAACCCTGTCCGTACGCCCTGGGGTCATTTTGTACCCCTGGGGTTGTATTCTTCACATTTTAGAATACTTTTAGTACATAGATAGATCTCTTTGAAACTTTCAGTATTTCTCAAAAAATAATTTTGACGGACTGCTATGCAAAGCGTACAGATCGGATTAACGAGTAAATTTCCTCTTTGGAAAGTCGTGGCACTGAGTTCTCCACTTTGTATGGGTACGATAGTAAAACACGATGTACGAATAGAGTTAATAGTTCATATCTGATATATCTGATATGAGTGTGACAATTTTCCAAGGCTGACGTAGTATCATCATCATCCAGTGCCAGATCTGCGACAGACATCGGCGTTCATGGTTCTCCATTCATTCCTTTCCTCAGATGCTCTAAAAAAAAGCCTCGTTTCTCTGTTACCCTTTTGTTTAGGTTCCTCAAGTATGTTGTTCTGGGCCTTTCCCTACCTTGCTTACCCTCAATTTTGCCAGTGAGAGCTAGATGTTAAAGACCCTTATGTCTATTTATGTGTCCCAAAAACTGCGTTTGTCGTTTCCTGATTGTTTTTAACATTGAGCGTCCCACGTGGGCTTCATCAAGCACTACCTCATTTGATTTCTTTTCCTTCCACGATACTCTTAGCAGTCTCCTAAGAAACCAGATTTCTGTTTCTTCAATTTTATTTTCACTGTTTTTAGTGATTGCCCAGCATTCACAGCCATATAGAAGGGTTGACCAAACATAGCATTTCAGGACTTTCATTTTGGTGTTCATTGAGATGTTTCTATTGACGTAGTATAGCTTTAGTAAATTTTTCTGTGGTAACTCATCAACATCATTCCACAATTCAATTTCGGGGGGGGGGGGGGTTCCAGATAAAGCCGTTATTCTGCAAATGTACTTTTTTTGTGTGTGTTTGATCAATGTTTTTCAATACTCTGCGTGCTGAAATGTGTTTTTAAAAAAGTGTTGAGCCCCCCAAAAAAGACCAATGTTGGCAAATTACCGTAAGTATTAGTACCGGTACTGGGTTGGCTATCTCAGTTTTCTGTGCTTGAACATTTTTTTTTTACATTGGTTTATATTTTTTAATGAAACTAATAGAACAGGTTTGTTCCTACTAGTACAGGGGTATGAGGTTGAATGTGCCATCCCGTTTATTTATTTTGAACCATTTGTCCTCCCCCCTCCCCCCTTTTTATTCCCTCCTCCCCCCCTCCCCGCTTTATTCGATGCCTTGGAGTAGTTTCGTTTAAATACAATCTTGGAAAAGTTCGTCTTCTAAGACACCATTTTAAACAAGTAAGGATTTCGTTCGCAAGCAGTGGGAAGGGATTCCACAGTGACTTGACCAACGGTTCGTTTGAGTATGTTCATCTTTTGGGTACCCAGCTTGTTATTATCATAATTATTACTATTATCATTATTATTATTATTATTATTGTTGTTGTTTTGTTATTGTTATTATCATTATTATCATTGTTATTATTATTATTATTTTGGCATTATTATTATTTTTAATATTACTATTATTATTATTATTACTATTATTATTATTACTATTATTATTACTATTATTATTATTATTATTATTATTATCATTGTTGTTGTTGCTGTTATTGTTATTGTCATTATAATCATTTTTATTGTTATTATTATTATATATCTTTCGTCTGTCTATGTTTTTTGTTGGCCACAGCATGAATGTCCGTAAACTGGTCGGCTCGGACCGTATCAAAGGCATCATGGTCATCAAGGCAGACAACTCTACTCAGGCACCACCTCCGTTCTCCTCCGTAGATGCCTGTCCTAACGACAGATATGGTGAGATGATGGTGTGGGTGGTTGGAGGGCGCTCTGGTGTTGTCTGCTCCTCCTTTCCTATCAAGCGTCTTATTATCCTTATCTTCTCTCCTACACCTTTTGAATTCGTGTTATGGTCAAGTAACACCTCTAATCTTCAGCAGCACCAATATGACCTAGTTGTGTTGCAAGTGCTGTAAAACTCTTACTAAAACTTTTAAAAACATTGATCTTCCTTATCTTTGCTCCTTCTTTTATTTGAAAGTTACGGTCTTGTAACACCTCTAATCTTCTGCTTCATCAGTTTGCCTAATTTTGGCGCAAGTGCTGTAAAACTGTAGTAAAACTAAGAAAAACTTTGATCGTCCATGTCTTTCCTCCTTCTTCTTTGTGCATATATAATGTCAAGTAACACCTTTAATCTTCGGCAGCACCAGCGCGTGAATATGACCTTAATTTTGTTGCAAATGCGTAGAGCTCCTACTAAAGCTAACAGTAGATGGTTGATGGGTGCTCTGATGTGGTCTGCTCCTTCTTTTCTATCAAACATCTTTCGTCCTTATCTCTCTTTCTTTTTCGTGTTTGTTACTCTTTTGTAACACCTCTAAGCTTTGCAGCACCAATGTGACCTCACTGTGTTTCAAATGCCATTAAACTTTTATTAAAACTATTAAAAAAAGCGTTGATCATCTTTATCTTTTTTCCTTCTTTAATTTTCATATTACAGTCCAGTAACACTCCCAAACTTCAGCTGCTCCAATATGACCTTGTTGTGTTGCAAGTGCCGAAAACTCTTGCTAAAACGAACTCTCTTTTTTTTTTTGTATGTTACTATTTAGTATTACCTCTATTCTTTGGCCACACTTATATCTCCTTGTTGTTTTTTCAAGTTCCTTGAAACTCTTACGAAATCTATGAAAAGGAAATTTAAAATACAATAAATTCCTTGAAACTCTTACGAAATCTATGAAAAGGAAATTTAAAATACAATAAAAACCCAATGTGTTAACAGATTGTTTCATCTTTTCCCCTGGTGGACAGGTCTGTACAGCAACCACTCGGAGTACGGCGACTGTAAGAAAATGACCTGGAACCCCGCAGGCACAGGCCTCCACTTCCAGGACCTCGGGGTGCCCGTCTTCGTCTTGTCTGATCTGCAGGACATTAGCACCATCATCAACAAGGTGATTGCTGCCTCTGGCTCTCCTTTACCGTCTCGTCAGATATCTACTTATCTTATTCTAAGCAGCCAACTCTGAACATGACGATTTTGTTATTTTTGTCCTGAATTCTGACTGACATCACACAACCATTCCTATTAATAACTTCCAGTCAGATAAAACCTATCCCTAACAGTGGCTACAATGTTGGGTTCTAAATAGCTAAAAAGTGTATGTAATAGCCTTGCTTTATATTTTTTTCACTCTTCTGTAAAACTTGAAGTCACTGACACAACGGACAACAAGGTGACTGCTCGCTGGCTGTCTCATATTCTGTTGTTTGATTACTGCTTCCTCTCGTTATTTTGTGGGTGGTTGGGGGGTGTCCCTGACACTATCATCTATGGTCAACCAGGTGACTTGCTGTCTCTCATTCAGTTGTTTTATTACTACTTCCTGTTGTTGTTTTGTGGGTGGTTGGAGGGTGTTATTGACATTTTCTTTCCTGTCTTGTTCTGTTGTGACCACTTTCTATTGGTGCAATATGGGTAGTTGGAGGATGGTGTTTTTGACACCATCGTGAGCACGGTAATTGTTAACTCTCTTTTCTTGCATATTATACGCTTCGGTAGTCTATGGATTAGGCTACCGGACTCGTAGTCGTGTGGTTGCAGGCTTTTTTCATTTTTTGGTAAGTGTTTTATGGTGCTCGCAACTGCATAAGGTCATAGAGCATGAGGTGACAGGTTTGAGCTGCAGGCCCGACGTTGTGTCCTTGGGAAAAGCATTTTACTCAAATTTCCCTCACTTCACCCAGGTGGGAATGGCTACCTGGCCATAGACAGCAAACGATCTTGTCAGTATGTTTGTGTTTTCGCCCTTATAAACTGCTACTTGCACTGTGTGTTTCCCAGGAAGTTGAGGTTGTTTCAGAATGCTCTCAGGTCTGCTGGGGTAATAATATAGATTGTGAAGGGCATAGAGCTTGCTGTTGAGCGGGACTTGGGGCTATACAAATGCTATCTATCCATCTATTATTATTATTATTATTA